ACGGGGAAATCAGAGTAATTTAAAATGATTGTGGTTTGAATTGGTAACATTTGAAATGTATAACTGCTGAGATATATTTGTATAAATGTATAAAGATTTGTATATAATTTTATTGATATATAACTGACATATAGTATATGAACTTCTTAGACATATAACATGATTCAGTATATGTATTATTCAGTATATGTTTCTGAAGAACAAAATGTTTTACATTTTGTGTAATATAATTATATAAGGTAGAAAACCTGCTGGCCAGATAACTATTGGCCATTCTTTTGGAAGGAGCGGGAATATGTTAAATAATAATCATAAATCTCAGAAAAAAGAGCTAGGAAAGAGATGAAGACAAGAGACAGTGACAACATGATTGTTGCTACAAGACAGAGTTTTCTCTGCATTTGTGCTGCCTGCCTTGTCCCTCTGCTTTCTGCACACATCTGTCCTTCCCAACCTGAACAGCCTGTCAAGATGTTTTCACTGGAGGATGGGGTGGTTGCCCCTGAACAAGCTGTTGCCAAGGTATCACTACTTACTACTCACAACAGGAGAAATAAATAAATAAATAAATAAATAGGTCCTTCAATTTTAAGACATAATAATGAATTTAGAGCAAGGAATGAAAAGAATTATCTCCCGTAAAAATAGGGTTGTGCGTAACATGAGGCTGACACTTAAGGATAATAGATACACGGGACAGGTAGATTGCTCCATAGCTCGAAGCCTGCCTCATGAGCAAAGGGGAGAAGGCAGCTGGAATAGAGAAGGGATCACTAAGAAAAAGATGGCTGGAGGAATCAGTCAGGATGGGAGATGTGTGCAGAAAGTAGATAAAGGACCAAACATGATGACCTCTCAGGGTCTGTATTGCAAACCATAATGCCCCAAAGTAGAGAGAGATTATGGGGAATCCTGTCTGTCATGGAGGCGGGGGAAGGTGGGAAAGAGAGGTTATACCAGGGATATTGGTGGTGGGGAGTGTGCATTGGTGGACGGATGAGTGTTTGATCATTGTGTGATTGTAACCTAAACATGAAAGCCAGTAACTATCTCACAGTGATTCAATAAATTTTTTTTAAAAATAGGGTTGTGTTATAGACTTTTAAAAAATCTCTGTAGAGCCTCATTTGATACATTTAAGATCACAGTGAGTCGATTATATGAGAATTACAATTAGAGTGTCCATGTGCCCCAAATTAACTAGATATTTTTAATAAGTCTATAGCTCACATTAGGGTTCACTCCTGCTATTGTATAATCTCTGAGTTTATATGACTCTATTCTTTATAATCACGTGAACTCATTCCTCTGGGCTCTTCCTATTTGTTTCTTTCTCCTGAGATTTTAATTTTGTATTACAACATTATTAGAATTTTGTATTTAGGGAGCCATATAGGCCAGGTAGGGCATTTGCCTTGCACGCTGCCGACCCAGGTTCAAATCCTGCCATCCCATATGGTCCCCTAAGCACCACCAGGGGTAATTCCTAAGTGCAGATCCAGGAGTAACCCCTGAGAATTGCTGGGTGTGACCCGAAAAGCAAAAAAAAATTGTATTTGGAAATATATTTAGACCACAGTGAGATCCATGAGAGACCTTCTCATATCTATGAGAATCACTTAGATGAAGATCATCAATGATAGCAAGTGTTGGAGAGTGTAGAGGAAAAGAAACTCTTGTTGTTTGTGAGAATGTAAAGTAGTGTAACCATGTGGAAAGTATTACAGAGCTTCCTTAGGAAACTAAATACAGGGGCTGGGAGACAGTAGAGTGTTAGGGTACTTGCTAGACAGGGTTCAGTTTCCAGCACCACATGGTCTCCCCAGCATTGCTGGGTGCAGACCTGGACACCCTCAAGAACCACTGGGTGTGAAAGGATTCTGGATAAGGTCAGTCGATGGTGGTCACCCTTCTCCTTTTCTAGAGTCTGACCATCCTCTCAGGCATTGTTGAAATGACATCTGCACTTCTATGTTCATTGCTGCACTATTCACAATAGCCAAAATCTGAAAAAAAAAAAAAAAACCCTGAGTGCCCGAGAACAGATAACTGGTTAAAGAAACGTTGGTACATCTACACGATGAAGTACTATGCAGCTGTTAGAAAAGATGAAGTCATGAAATTTACATACAAGTGATACTACATGGAAAGTATCATGCTAAATGAAATGAGTCAGAAAGAGAGGGGCAGACATAGAAAGATTGCATTCATCTGGGGAATATAAAGTAACAAATTGGGAGACTAACACCCAAGAATAGCCGAGATAATTACCAGGAGGTTCACTCCATGGCTTGGAGGCAGCTGCACATGCTGAGGGAGAAGGCAGCTCAGAGAGGGGAGCACCAAGTAAAGGGTGCTGGGAGGACCCTCCCAGGATGAGAGATGCATGCTGAAAATAGTGCCTCTTTTTTGCAAACCACAGCACCCAAAAGGAGAGAGAGAACAAAAGGGAATGCCCTGCCACAGGGGTGGGGTGGGGTGGGGGAGTGGGGGTGGGAGGGATGCTGGGAGCATTGGAGGTGGGGAATGGTCACTGGTGAAGGGATGGGTACTCGATCATTGCATAACTGAAACCCAAGCACAAAAATTTGTAAGTCTACAACTGTACCTCATGATGTTTCACTAATAAAAATTAAAAAAAAAAGAAAAAAGAACCCCTGGGTGTGAGCAAGTGCCCCTTGTGCTACAGGGCCTGACTAGCACAGCATCCTTGGGCCCTTCATACTGGACTGCTGACCTGGGTGGGGGCCAAGAATTGTTGATGGGCTCTGAGCACTACTTTGAAGCCCCTCCTCCCACCTCTCTACCATATTTTCTAGCAATCCTATCTCTGGGTAGCTATCCAAAGAAGATAAAAGTCTTAGCACAAAAAGCCATGCTCATTTCAGTGTTTATAGCAGTGCTATTTACAATGGCTAAAATATAGAAGCAACATAAATGCCTATAATAAATTAGGCAAAGATTGTGTTGCACCTTTATACAGTGGAATACTATTTACAGTGGAATAATATTCAGTTATTATTTTAAATGCTCCTTTGCCATTTGCAACAAATGGAAGTAGTCAAGTAAATTATGTGAAGTGAAGAAACTTAAAAACATCAATATTAGGTGATTTCATCTATGTTTGCACAATAAGGATATAAAACTGATTCTGGAGCGATAGCACAGCGGGTAGGGCGTTCGCCTTACAAGCGGCCAACATGGCCGACCCAAGTTCGATTCCTCCGCCCCTCTCGGAGAGCCCGGCAAGCTACCGAGAGTATTCGATATGCCAGACACAGTAACAACAAAGTCTCCAATGGAGACGTTACTGGGCCCGCTTGAGCAAATCGACGATCAACGGGAGGGCCTTTACCTTTACCTTTTATCAAAATAAAGCAATGGATAATGATAATAGAACTATGATTACCTGAAGAGAAAAGGGTCAAAGGGGTACACAAGGGTTTTAAATAGAAAAAGAATTTTTTGTCACTATCTATGATATTTTGTTCTTCTCGGAGAGCCTGGCAAGCTACCGAGAGTATATTGCCCACACAGCAAAGCCTGGCAAGCTCCCCATGATGTATTCAATTCGTATTCGAAGTATTCAAAAACAGTAACAAGTCTCACAATTTGTTGTGAGATGTTACTGGTACCCGCTGGAGCAAATCAATGAACAATGGGAGGACAGTGCTACAGTGCTACAGTGTATATATGATGATGGATTTTAAGTAGACATGTGTAACCATGTCAAAATATTTGCAGATATTAAGCCTTAAAATATTTTTGTAACTTTGGAATAAATAGCAGTACTCCTACAGTAAACCACTTGTTCAATGAATAATAATGTATTTTGAAATGTGCAGACTTAATTATTTTAAGAGCCTCCTTTAACTTTCAGAGAGGATCCAGTTTGAGTAGTAAATTACCTGGTGTTACATGGGCTTTAAAGAGAAAGCCTCCCCCACCCCCCTCTCTCACTCTCTCTTTCATGTTTTTGACCAGTCAGATATAGAGAAGGACAAAATCTCAGTGCTTTATTTCTGAGACTTTCTGAACTAAAGACTCAGAGCCTGCAAGGGAGGCAGCTCAGCTTTCAAAGCTTTTCACATTCTTTGTTCAAAGTGATTATACAAGTGGTATTGCTTCTGGTTTTCTGATTCAGACATGAGAAAATTCAGCATGTCGGTAAATAAGTAATGACCCCAGTAAGGAAGGAAACAGACCGCAAGAAGTCAAATTCATGCAGCCAATTACACCTGCCTACAAAGGGTAAAATTCTGTAGAGGGGATAGGTTGGATTTAAAAGAGTTACTATACTTGGAGGAAAGATTCCATAAATCATTAGAGTTTAGTGGTTTTTAGTATCATTGACATATTTCTGAAGCATGGTACATCTGTTTATTCAGCAGAATGAATCTAGGTTCTGATCAGAAACATTATAAACTTGGGCTAATATGATATGATAATTATTCTGTAGTAGCTGTAGTATCACCCACATTAAATTGTAGTACAATGCTAATATCCTAAAGATCAGTGAAAGCTAACTTTTCTATAGAAAATTGGAAGCAAATTATTACAACAGTGGCTAGATTTTCATAAAAGGCTTATTCCTTACATTTATTTTAAGGTATAGGATTTAAAGTACATCCTAGTATACAAGCCGATAGTCCCAAATCAGACAGGACAGAGTGATGAGTCTTACAAAATAAATTACAAGGAAGCTTTTGCAATCAACCAGCGTGTATACGGAAATCAGAGGGGGCAGACAGGGCTCACTGGGTGGAGTAGATGACTGGCATGTGCAATCTGTGACGTCAATTCACAGCTCCACCATTGTGGACCCCACAGTGATTGAAAAAGAAATACCAAATGGGGTGTGGAATTGATTCCCCACTCTCAGGAAGTTTTGAGTGTTGTTGCAGTAGGTGCTCTCCTGGTGAAGATGTATTCTCTGTAGGTGTATTTTTGGTGAGATTTGTGAAACTATCCTTTGATCTTACTGAATTATTTCTTTTCAGGCCTCTCTATCCGGAGTGTGTGCTGGAAAGCTGACCGTCTCCTAGCGGGCACCCAGGACAGTGAGATATTTGAAGTTATTGTGCGAGAACGAGACAAGCCAATGCTGATCCTACAAGGCCACTGTGAGGGAGAACTCTGGGCTCTGGCCCTGCACCCCAAGAAGCCACTGGCTGTGACAGGCAGTGATGACCGCTCTGTCAGGTGAAGTCCCAGCAGTGTCCACTAGCTCCTTCCTGATTCCCTTAGGTTCCCCAATGCTGCTTGTTATTAGGAGAAGATTAAATCATAGTGAAGAACAACACAATTTCTAAATAGCATGTTAAGATGTTTAACTCAGCATTAGTCGACTTCTTGGCAATTGTGTTGTTGTAGACTTTCTTTGGCTACAGTCTAAGTCATAAAAAATGTACAAGAGATGAAAGCATACTGACATCATTTATATGACCTTCCAGTTTTCCATCAGCAGAAGATGTGAGCTCTGTATGCTCATCTGTGATGAGATCACATTTTCCCCTAGAACCTTTAACTCTCTGTGGGGGTGGGGGTGGGGGGTGCTATACAGCACTTTCCTGGTTGCGTCACCATCAGAACTTAAATTCTAATTTTCAAAATTGTCTTCAGCATATAAGTAGAAGATTATTTCTTTGTAAATCTTCGATGGAATTTTGAGCATTTTCGCCAAGTCAGAGGAGAGTGCTGGTTCCTAAAATACGTATATGTACAATTTTTTGAGGGCCATAAGGTTCTTGCTATGAATCATTTGTTATTCTTTGACAACTTGGAATTGCATAGCCTGAGAAAAATGATTATGCTTTTAATATTCTGATGGTTAAAGAAATGCACACATTGTTTTAAGTTTAAATTGAAAACTTATGCACTAATTTCAGTATTTTTAAATATATTAAACATGCACAACAACAAACAGATCTGAGTGAGTGATAATATAGAGGCTGATCATTTGATTGGGTGTATAGGTAGATAGATAGATAGATAGATCTTATATATATTTTTTTTTCATTTTTGGGCCACCCCAGGCAATGCTCAGGGCTTACTCCTGGCTCTGTGTCCAGGGATCTCTCCTGAAGGTGCTTAGGGGACTATATGCAGTGCATGAGATCAACTTGGGGTTGACTGCATGCAAGGCAAGCAAATTACCTGCTGTACTATCTCTCCAGCCCCTGTCTTTTTAATAGCAAAATAGAACATTATAAGCTAAACAAGAAGTTTTTTACTGCCCCTTCCTCCCCACCCCAGCTTTTAAAAATAAATAGCTTGTGAATCTGAACAAGGTTCAATCAGTTTTCTTATTAATGAAATATGGGTCCAAAAATAAATTCTGTTTTTAGTTTCTACCATGTTCTAACTCTCATCAACATAAAAATCAGTGAAAACAACTTCAGTTGTCTCCTCATGTGATATGGCTATTTGGGAATGGCTATTTATTTGGCTTATAATTCACTCATTTCCTCCTGTTCTCTTCCATTTCCTTTCTTTACTCTAAGCTTTCTCTAAACAACCAGAAAAATGCTTTTCAACACTTCCACCATGGATTATCACTGACTGACTAAGATGAAAATAATTTTGAGAAATTTTTGGCTTTTGTGTTCTATTAACTGTGTTTAGTCTCCAAGCTGCAAGCATCCCTGAGGAACCACAGTGCCTTATTTCTCATAACCATTAATTTGACTAAAATTATATATTATAATATAATTATATATTATATATATTATTATATATTGGGGGCAGGGAAATCAAATCATTTTATTTGAGAGTCTTAGTGGAGGATTGAAAGCCCACATCCTGGACTTGCCAGTATGTCAAAAATTTTTTTCAGGAATATTCAAACATTCAGAGGTGTTTACTTGACATAGATAATCTAGATCATTTAGAGGTTTTGTTACATAATTAAAATTTTGGGGGTAAATGACATTAAGTTTTGGTAGTTAACATTTATATTTCATATTTCTATACATTACAAAAATGATCACAATAAATATAAATAACACTTATCACCTTACATGAATTCTTCTCAAGGAAGATTAAATTAAGTTTAAAGCATATGCAGTTTATTGAGCAGTGATGCTAGTACAGCAAAACTTGCATTGCTTAAAATAGTACAAGCCTAAAACCAGCATGAGATTATAAATAAAGGACCAGATATTGAGAGAAAACCATAAGCTTTTAGACCAAATAGAGCAGGGTTCCGAAGTAATCAGCAGACTATTCACCCCAGCGCCACATGGTAAGGCATGTGCCTCTCATTCTCTCTCCTACGGCAGAATGCATTTAGAAAAACTGCACCCCAGTGACTTAATCTTGCCTCTCTATTGTAGAATTACAAATTTTCCATCCCATCTGCAGACGTTATTGTTTGCATGTGTGAAAATGGTCTTAACGGATATGGGTCAGACACCACAATTGCAGCTAACATATAACTCTTATTTGTATCCTTGTACATACAGTTCATGTTCACTCAGTTTGGGGTCCCTGAGCTAGAAGATATTAGAGAGGCTGGAATCATTTCTCACTGTACTCAATCCTTGATCCTTATGTTTCCAGCAGCAGTAGTGCTCACTGGTCAGCCTTATGAGGTACCCAACTGACCAAGTGTGAACCTCTCAGCAGTGGAGCACCGAGCGAGCTGTGTGTAATGTCAGTCTATGGCTGTAGTCAACTTTGGAGCTGTCCTTGGCAATGGACAGCAGCTTCACTGTTTTCCTGCTCAGATGTGTTTTCTTTCTAGGGAGGCCAACAATTATAATGAGTAATTTTTCAACTGTGTATTTTTTTACTTAACACATTTGTTAGAAGGATACTCATTTTTTTTTAAAAAGACAGTAGATCCTAGTAATTTTTATTTCCTAAGTGTTATTAACAACCATTGGGGTAAATAAAAAGTCTTTAATTTTATAAGATTTTGTGTGTAATGTTAAATATTTCCTTTTTAAAAAATCTCAACACCTTCAGAAATGTTCTTTTGTTTTTTTAAATTTCTTACTGAGTTTCAGAAGATTTGAAAAATAATTCAAAGATAGAGCAACTGTTAGATTCCCAGACAGGCCATGAGGAAGGACCTTTGTAGGAATGATTGTGACCTTTCCTGTTCTTAACATGGCATGGAGTGCAGGCCTTTCTAACTTGGATTGGCCAATGAGTACAGAAGTTGATTTTGTTTTCTTTGTCTTGTGCTTAGGCTGTGGAGTCTGGCTGACCATGCCTTGATCGCCCGCTGTAACATGGAGGAAGCAGTTCGAAGTGTTGCTTTCAGCCCAGATGGATCTCAGTTGGCCCTGGGCATGAAAGATGGCTCTTTCATTGTTCTCCGAGTCAGGCATGTACTGATACTGATAATAGTATAAGTGAAGTTCTGTAGAGAGAATTAAGATTCTTCTGTCATAATGAATGCCTGAATCTGTGGGGAAAGACATCTACCTTTCTTTTATTTTTATTATTATTATTATTGGCTTTTTGGGTCACACCTGTCAGTGCAGTGGTGCTCTGGGCACCATATAGGATTCTTGGTATTGAACCCAAGTTGACTTCCTGAAAGGCAAACACCCTGTCCACTGGACTGTTGCTCTGTCCCCAAGGCATCTACCTTTCAAATAGAAGCAATATGGATTTCTCAATTCCCTATCTGAAATACAATTCTGAAACACAAACATCTGAAAATCCAGAGTTATTTGGTAAATTATTTGGCAACATAACCTAATCCAGTGAACTGATGTAAAACTTTTTAAAAAACATTAATCTGTTAGAAGGAATAATCATGTATCATGTAAAAATATTTACATGCAAATATATAAATACATTTCTTATGGGGTGGTGTTTCCTTAACCCCTTGTGGAGCTGCTGCATATAATATTGCATGTGACATTCCTAAAATCCAATGAACGACAAATTCACAAGATTATAAGGTTCCCAGGGTTTATAGATAAGAGATTATGTGTATTACACTAGAGGTGAACTGGAAGTCTTAAAATATTTCCTCATCGATAATTAATAAAATGGAATAGTTTTTATTTACTTACACTAAAATTTGTTACTAGAAAAAATGTCATGGTTCATTCAGGGCCCGAGCAATATTATAGTGATAAGGCATTTACCTTGCACGTGACTGACCCGAGTTTGATCCTGGCATCCCATATGATCCCCCAGCACCATCAGGAGTAATTCCTGAGTGCAGAGTCAGGAGTAACCCTGAATTTCACTTGGTGTTACCCAAAAAGGAAAAAAAAGTTATGGTTCATCCTTGTAATTCTTCTGAATGCATCGTTCTTTTGACTTACACATTTTGTGATTACAGAATGCCAACAGTCATAAATCAGATGCCCATGTTTTACACAGAGAAAAATCCTTATAGATTAAAAAATACTCGTGCATAGTTTATCACACTTAATTTTCATTATCAGCCACACGTAATTTATTACAAAATCAGTGGGCAACATTTTCTCTCTGTGCTTAGTAGAGTGTGTAAAGATGACTGCCGACCAAGTTTTTACTTGTTTTGATAGATTTCCCCAAATCTTCTACTTTATTATATAACATCATAGTAACTATATTGAATTAATAAACAATATCAGGTGTGAGTAATTACTTAGTGGAAGTGAATATTTGGCATTGTTTATGCAGTTTGTTTTGGAGTTGATGAAGACATCATTACTGGCTCAGGGCAACTACCAGTCACAGTCCTGTTTCATAAATGTAGAAATAGTCTCTGAACTTTCAATTGAGAACAGAAATTTTTGCCAGAATTTTTTCCACCATGTGGAAAAAGGTGATTAAATGTCTTCTGACCTTTCTACACAACATGTTTTTTTAAAAAGTTTATAAATCTCAGATTACTTAGCAAAAAGTCTTAGTGAAAAAAAATTTAATATTGAAGCACAAATGTGTTGTTTCATTGCTTTGGAAGCATGAAGTATTATTTGTGTTTGTGCTTTTTTGACTGTTGACCATAATATTTAAGTGTTTTATATCCTTTCTTTTAAAAAGTTAATCCATTTCTTCATATAGGGTCTCAAAATGGAGACCCTATATGAAATATTTCAAAATATTTTTTTCTGACATATACTTCAAAACACGACTTAAGCTTCCTTTTTCTAGATTTACTGCTTATCTTTTTGCTTTTTATTTACAGAGATATGACAGAAGTGGTTCATATCAAAGATCGAAAAGAAGTCATTCATGAAATGAAATTTTCTCCAGATGGTTCTTATCTTGCAGTGGGATCCAATGATGGTCCAGTAGATGTTTATGCTGTTGCTCAGCGGTATAAGAAAATCGGAGAGTGCAACAAGTCTCTCAGTTTCATTACCCACATTGACTGGTCTTTGGATAGTAAATATTTGCAAACTAATGATGGTGCTGGAGAACGATTATTTTATAAAATGCCATGTAAGTCATATAGACATTGAATATTTGTGAAAACAGAGCTTTGGACTATGTTCAGAAAATGTATGAGGAGATATAACCTTGGGTGATGGAATATTTTCTGAAATTAAACCCCCAAACCACAAATTTTTATAAATTTTTGTTTATAACTACACAAAATAAATTGAATTACATTAAATATTTATTATTGACCAACTTTCATTAACTTATTGTGCCTGAAAATGTTTAGTACTTCTAGATTTCCATGAATGATGAAAGGCAGGGAAAAAATCAATATAAACTTTTGAAATATTAATAAAATGTTGGTAACTATGACAAAAATAAATTCATTAACAATGCAAAACATTGTATCATATGTTTCTAAGTAATTAAGGCCAAGAAAATATTCCTTATTTGAGACATTACATTTACTACAATGATCGTGTACTCAGTGTACTCTCTTTTTTTATCTGGTTTTTGAGTGTGTGCTTTTTTTTCTTTGTTTTGTTTTGTTTTGGGGGGCACACCAAAACAAAAGTGGTGCTTAGGGCTTACTCCTGACTGCACTCAGGACTCGCTCCTGGCAGATTAGGGGACATATGGAATGTCAGGGATCAAATTGAGGTTGGCCATGTGTAAGGCAAGTGCCCTACCTGCTGTACTCTCTCTCTGGTCCCTTGAGTGTGTGATTATTAAAAATCCTGCATCCACTTGCTTCCACAATACAAAATTGCCACCAAACCCCTGGCCTGACTTCACCATCTCAAGATGGATCTCACTGAGACATAATCTGCTGAAAATCTGGTATGTGGTTCTTGTGACTGAAATCTCCAGCCTTTCTTGGGGGGATGGGGTCGGGATGGGCTACCTTCCCCCACCTCCCTGTACTTTGGGAAGCCTCAGCAGTCACATCCACACCCCAAAGTGACCACCCAGGTAAAAGCTTTACTAGCTTTACTGTCCCAATAAAAATACTGAATGACCTGAACCAACATGATGATCTCTTAAAACCTATATTGCAAACCAAAACAAACAAACACTGTCCTCCTATTGTTCATTGATTTGCTAGAGTGGGCCCAGTAAGTCTCCATTTTGAGACTTGTTGTTACTGTGTTTGGCATATTGAATACGTCACGGATAGCTTGCCAGGCTTTGCCATACGGGCGAGATACTCTTGGTAGCTTGCCAGGCTCTCTAAGAGGGGCAGAAGAATCAAACCTGGCTTGGCCAGGCTGGCTGTATGCAAGGCAAATGCCCTACTGCTGTAATATCACTGCAGCCTATTGGAAACCATAATGCACAAAAAGAAAAGGAGAGAGAGAGAGAAAGAAGGAAAATGCCTCCCATAGAGGGAGACTGGGAATGGGGGTGGTCTGTTGGGGGGTGGTGGAAGAAAAACAGAAGATATTGGGATTGGAAATGTACACTGGTGGAGGGATGGGTACTGGATCATTGTATGAATTACGAACAGCTTTGTAAAGGCCTATCTCACAGATATTCAATTAAAAATTTTTTTAAAAATGTAGTGTGGAGATCATTCATACCTGCTTCAGTTAGCTTAATCAGTGACTGAGTAAATAGCAGTACTCCTACATTTAAAAAAATCCTGCTGCTGCTGTTTCTAAAAATAGAAATCATTTGGGAAAAGAGATTAGAACCTTAGTTTTTTTATTTGTGTAGTTTTTTTTTTTTAAAGTTTCGTCATGTTAAGTGAAATGAGTCAGAAAGAGAGGGATAGACATAGAAAGATTGCATTCATCTGGGGAACATAAAGTAACAAAATAGGAGACTAATACCCAAGAGTGGCCAGGATTAGTACCAGGAGGTTTGCTCCATGGCTTGGAAGCCAGCCACAAATGCTAGGGGAAAAGGGAGCTCAGATAGAGAAGGGAGCACCAAATAAATGTTGTTGAGAGGATCCTCCCAGGATGGGAGAAGCATGCTGAAAGTAGACTATAGACCAAACATGATTACCACTCATTGCCTCTTTTGCAAACAACACCCAAAAGAGAGAGAACAAAAGGGAAAGCCCTGCCACAGAGTCAGGGTGGGATAGGGGGTATGGGGGGTGGGAGGGATACTGGGATCCGTGGTGGTGGGAAATGGGCACTGGTGGCGGGATGGGTATTTGATCATTGTATAATTGAAACCCAAGCACAAAAATGTGTAAGTCTGCAACTGTACCTCATGGTGTCTCACTAATAAAAAATTTTTTAAAAAGTTTCGGAGCTCTAAGAAAAGAAAGAGAATATAGTAAATCCTGCTTTTTATTTTAAAGTATAATATTATATAATTCTTATTTTCAGCTGGGAAGCCCTTAACAAGTAAAGAAGAAATCAAAAGTATTCCCTGGGCCTCATGGACATGTGTGAAAGGCCCTGAAGTGAGTGGAATTTGGCCAAAATACACTGATGTCATAGACATCAACTCAGTGGATGCGAATTACAACAGCTCAGTGTTGGTATCTGGAGATGATTTTGGATTGGTTAAACTGTTTAAATTTCCTTGTCTCAAGAAAGGTATGATCAAAAGACATGTTTGCTTGAATAAAGATTCAATCTAGGATTAACACTTATTCTGACTATTTCATATTAATCAGTTTAATCATTTTTGTTATTTAAATGGAAAGTAGTTGTGATTTTTTTCTAACATTTTGAAATATGTGGTTTTATAAAATTAAGTCAGAATTTGTTGTTGTGTTTTGGGGGCCACACCTGGATGTGCTCAGAGGCTATTCCTAACTTGAATCTTGAGAGTTATTCCTGGCAGTGCATCGGGCATTGTATAGGCCTGGGCTTCACACATGCTAGGGAAGTCCTCTACCACTGAGCTACATCCCCAGTGCTTAAGTCAGAATTTATTAACAAAAATTTTTTTTTTTGTATCTTGAATGAAATCTTATTTTTTAAAATTTTATTGAATCACCATGAGATAGTTACAGGCTTTCATGTTTAGGTTACAATCACACAATGATCAAACACCCATCCCTCCACCAGTGCACACTCCCCACCACCAGTATCCATGGTATACCCCCCTCCCTTTCACACCTTCCCCCTGCCTCCATGGCAGACATGATTCCCCATAATCTCTCTCTTCTTTAGGGCATTATGGTTTGCAATACAGACCCTGAGAGGTTATCATGTTTGGTCCTTTATCTACTTTCTGCACACATCTCCCATCCTGATCGATTCCTCCAGCCATCTTTTTCTTAGTGATCCCTTCTCTATTCCAGCTGCCTTCTCCCCTTTCCTCATGAGGCAGGCTTCAGCTATGGAGCAATCTACCTATCCTGTGTATCTACTATCCTTAAGTGTCAGTCTCATGTTATGTTGTTTGATACTCCACAAATGAGTGCAGTCCTTCTATGTCTGTCCCTCTCTTTCTGACTCATTTCACTTAGCATGATACTCTTCATGTCTATCCATTTATTAGCAATGTTTATGACTTCATCTTTCCTGACAGCTGCATAGTATTCCGTTGTATAGATGTACCAAGTTTCTTTAACCAGTCATCTGTTTGAGGGCACTTGGGCTGTTTCCAGATTTTGGCTATTGTGAACAGTGCTGCAGTAAACATATAGGTACAGATGTCATTTCTTCTGTGCTTTTTTTGTATCCTCAGGATATATTCCTAGAAGTGGTATTGTGAGGTCACATGGAAGCTTCTAGTTTTTGAAGGACTGTCCATATTGTTTTCCAGAAATTAACATAATTCTTGTGCACTATTTTGGGATTTATAGCTTGATATTTCACATTTTAAATTCTTTTATATTTATGCAAATAAATATAATTTAAATTAAACATATTACATTAAAATATTGCAGTTGAAATGTGTTTGAGAATTATAGCTAAAATCTCCTACACATGGAAAAGCAAATCCTTTTAGACATTTAAAATAAAACCAGAAAATGATTTTTCTGGTGATAACTCAGGTTATGGACCCCTTGTTTTACCACTAATTTTGCAGACCAGCCTTTTATTACTGGTAAAATATTGAGAGAGGAGTTTGCTTCATAATAACTTTCTGCAATTTCCGTTTTCTTATGTTTTTATTGTTAAAATGATGTTGCTTTTTTTAATTGTTAAAATGATGTTGCTTTCAGCCTTTGTGAGATATGACTGAATTAACCATGTAATGGACTAGTCTTTTCTTTAGGGTAAGGCAGAGCCCATGTAGAGGCTTTTCTGAGACTCCTTAAATGAGCCCTGATAATCTGAGCACAGCAAGGTAATCGGTAGATAGGGACCTGCTGCAGCCTAAAAAGCCTTTCCACTTGAATGAGTTTTCGATTAAGCAAGGAAAGGGATGGAAAAATGTAATCAGAATGTCATTTTCAGCTAATTGGCAGTTTTAAGACAGTGGAAATAGTGGTACAAAATTGAACATAAAATTCGTAGTAAATCCACCATCATTCACACTTGACAAAATAGCCATCAATTTAAAATGCTTTAGAAACAAAATTGCCTTCATATGTGTCAAATTCAATCTCTCTTTCTCCTTCTCTCTCCTTCTCTGTCTCTGTCTCTGTCTCTGTCTGTCTCTCTTCTTCTCTCTCTCCCCGTGTATGTGTATGTGGGGTGGGGAGGTGGGTGTGTCTTTTGAGTAGTAGGGCATACCCTGTAAACTGAGTAATATACTTGCAGTAGGCAAGTTAAACAACCAGGACGTATTTGAGACTTCCAAAGAAACATCAGTGGGGTCTCAAGTGCGAAGACCTGGCAATAAAGTTAAGCCAATGAGAGTTGGTATCTCCTATATGTCACCAAGCCTTCATTCTCTGAAAAGTAGCAGTGATACTGTAGATCTTGAATTCAAATAGGAAGATAAGAGACAGTGATAATGCAGCCAATGTGAGACACTTAAATGTCAAACAACCATGAAGATGATGGCACAGGAGTCATCTCAGTGAATGCCGATGGGTGGAAAAGACCAGTAAATTTATGAGTAACAAAAAAAAAAAACACAGCAGTTTTCCCAAATAAATCATGTTTTCATAGCAAATTGACATGTTCTACTTTTTATGACTCAAGTGTATAAATCTTTGAATTTGAATCCTATTCTTTCATCGTTTTGCTACTAAAATACTGGCAAGGAAGTTTATTAATAAGTGTCTGTGATGTGAATGATAGCAGGTGGTAGACCTCAACTCCCTGTAGCCCAGGTACTGGTGAAAAATGTTTCCTGCATTTCTAGAACCTGAAAACAGCCAAGAATGAGCAGATGCTTATAACTATGAGAGTGTCTGGAGACTGAGCAAATATTACAGTTTTCCTTATGATTAAATAAAACTCAAAATCAAGTTAATTGACACAATTATGATTGCATGTGTGAAGTATTCATGGTAATCAGACCTTTGCACTGATGAAAATGACTGTAATTGGTATTATTTTATATAACCAAACCTGTCCTCTCCTCATTTTATTTTGGCAGTTTTCTAATGTTACAAAATTAGGGTAATGCTGCCCTCATGTAGACTGCAGGTTTGACTATCTTGCCACCAATGACATGAAAAGAATCCAAGCCTTTTATTATTGACATTTACCATGTCTTAACGATCTAGCCACCCACTCCTGCTCCAAGGAGAGACTCTTAACTGGGTATCTACACATTTCTCACATGTTCTCCCATCCTGTTGCCCTTCAAAAACATGCATGCCTTTAACCACCACCTTCCACGATGAGCATTTTGATTCTTAGAAGATCTCAGCTGCAGAAACCCTGGTCCTTGGAATGTGTAGAGGATCTTGATGCATACAGGGACAGCAAGGCCAATGGGCTAGAGCATGGTGAATGAGAGGAGATTTATGTACCATGAAGCTGGAGAGAGCAGCAGGGCCATGCCACAGAGGGCTTTGTAGCCATTGTTAGAAATCTGCGTCTTATTCCTAGTATGATGAGAAACTCCTGGGTGTTTCAAATGGAGGAGTGTCTTGGTCAATTTAAGTTTTGATTAATTTTTTAATTTCTCAAATTTTAATTTTTAGATTGTAAAAACTGCTAACAAAATCAGTAGAAATAAATTTGCATAGCAGTGTTACTCAACTTTTTCATTATTACATAAAAATCTTATAGTGATCACCATTGAGAACAAATTCAATGATGGGCCAAGGAAACAGCTTATGTGGTAGAGCACACGTCTGTCGTGTGAGGCCAGGGTTTTCATCCCTGACACCACATGACACCCTCTTAGACTCTGTTGGGTACAGTCCTGGTCACCCTTAAGTGCCAGTAGCCTGAGCAACACTCCACCAGGCTGAACCTCAAAACCTTCAGGTACCACAAAACCTGAAGTTACCACCTGTACCGCCCAGATGAGCATTGACAAGAGTGGCCCAGGGACACCCCACCCAGTACTGCTCCAGCAGCTCCCATTGAGAAGGAATGTTAATGACTTTTTTCCTAACTGCTTGTTTCATTTTTCCTAAAAGTAAAATTTAAGTTTCTTCTTAATTGAATCACCTTGAGATAGATACACAGTTAAAAATTTTTCATGGTTGAGTTTAAGTCATACAATGTTTTAGCACTCGTGCCTTCACTAGCATACATTTCCCTGCCACCCCACAGCCTGCCTCTATGGCAGACATTCTCTTTATTTTCCCCCTCTTTTTTCCGTTTAGGCACTGCGGTTCGCAATTCTGTTACTGAAAGGTTATAGTGCATATCACTTTACCTCCTTTCAGCACTCAGCTCTTGTCCAGATTGATCATTTCCAACTATCATTGTCACAGTGGTCGCTTTTCTGTCCTACCTGCACCCTGTCCCACCTACTGTGTGGCAAGTTCCTACCATGGACCAGTCTTCCAGGCACTCCTTTCTGTTGTCTTTGGATACCATTTTGATATCGTTTAGAATGGATGAGGGAAAGAAAGATTTTAGATTCATTGTAAAAGTCTAGGTGAGAGATGATGTGGCTTGGAGAAAAGTGTTAGGAAAAGACCTGAAGATTGGTTGGTTGAGATTGGGAAATAGTGTCAGGATAGGGATGAAAGTTTTGTTTTATTTATTTCTCTCTGTGATATATAAAATGATTCCAAGTTTTGGTAGCTGTTGGTACTATTTATAAACATAGGAAAATCCTAAATGGAGAGTGTGTGTAATACACTGTAGATTGGAGTCTTTGAACTAAATGTCTACCTTCTGGCTCATATCTCCCTGTTCCTCCCACAGACCAGTCACAGTAAGCACAAATATGTTCTGTTTACATAAGTAAATCACTCCAAAGAGATAGGTTAAAATATCTTGGGAAGGTATAAAGGTCAAGGAAGAGAATAATAGTTCAGTAAGAAATATGGGAAGAATATACTTTGCTCCTCAATTATTGAATTTTCATCAGCCAGTTTTGCTAACTTATTTGGAATCTGTTATTAAATTACCAAATGCATATAGGAACTCTTTAGAATAGGCAGATTGCTTTGAGATCAAAGCCTGCCTTTCCCGCTTATGACCACATTCATTTTTTCTTTTTCCTTCTCAGTTTTTGGATCACACCCAGTGGTGGTCTCCTTTATATTCCTGGTAAACAGAGTAAACAGGTACAGAGTAAATAGTAAATCAGAACCTGGTTTACTCCTAAATTCTACATTCAGGGATCAGTCCTGGCAGACTCGGGGGACCATATGGGGTGCCAGAGATTGAACCTGGGTTAGCCATTTTCAAGGCAAGTGTCCACTCTACTATCACTCCAGCCCCTCACCCATAGTATTTGGAGTACTAGATCTTCCTGTGATAAAATGGATCCTATTATTTCCACAAGTGTCTTTATGCTGCCATGTATTGATCATACTCTAGAGACATTATTGCAAGGTTCTACCAATTTTAGTACAAACAAGTTTTTCTGCTTCATTCACTCCCCGTGGATGGCATTTACTAAGTAAAGCAACCCATTTAAGAGTAAACACTATTTATTTTCCTAACTCCTCATCTGCAAGTCCCCAAACAACAATCTTCCCCCACAGAATTATTTTTTCCCTCATTGCACAGGGCTACCTGTTTTATCTTGCATTTAAATAAAAAAAGATACTCATTCCTTATCATTTATTTTCATAATCAGTGAAACAGTAGGTGGTGTTTGTAATAGGTTCAAATTAGCCAATGGGCTTAACTTTTAAGACCAAGTTTTAGCTTAACCCGTTCTATAATAGCAAATACTTTGGGGAACATTTGCTTCTATATTCAGAAACTATTTTCTAATAATTTGAATAATATTGCACTATTATTATTATTATTGTCTCCTCTTCAAATTGTCTTTTCAGGAGCAAAATTTAGAAAGTATGTGGGCCACTCGGCACATGTCACAAATGTTCGCTGGTCCCACGACTTCCAGTGGGTCTTAAGCACAGGTGGAGCTGACCACTCGGTTTTCCAGTGGAGATTCATTCCAGAAGGTGTCAGCAATGGTCTGCTGGAGACTGCACCCCAGGGTAAAACAAACAAAAAATGTTCAACATTAATTTTAATACAGTATTTCAGAGAATGTTCTAGCAGCACTTCCAGAGGTAGATATAAGGCAATTTTAAAAAATGCATTCCTGTAATTTTAAAAGAAAAACCTTTGAGACCAATGTGATTTCTTTAAAAGAAGTTTATTTCTGCCCAAGGCAAATTGAAGGTTTAAGATTTATGTGAAAAGTCTGTAGCACTGTTCTCCTGTTGTTCATCAATTTGCTCTAGCGGGCACAAGTAACATCTCCATTGTGAGACTTGTTGTTACTGTTTTTTGGCATATCGAATATGCCACGGGAGCTTGCCAGGCTCTGCCAAGAAGGCAGGATACTCTCGGTAGCTTGCTGGGTTCTCCAGAGGAATCAAACCCCAGTTCGGCCACAAGGTGCAAGGCAAATGCCCTACCCGCTGTGCTATCGCTCCAGCCCATGTGAAAAATCAAGTTAATTAATTTGAAGATGTGAAAAATATATGTCAGCCTCCTTAGGATGATTGTAGACAGTGGTTCTGCTCAATTCATCTGCCAGATGATCGTATAACCTCAGGTATAGCTTTTGCCTCCAAACTGTGGCTCCAAAGAGTGGTTCTCATTTAGTACGAGTGTGTTCCAGTTCAGTGGACCTGTCTCTTTATTTCCTGTGATGTCAGCAGAAATAAGTAATGGCAGGCTGTGTGGGAATATCTGTTATTGGGGAAAGGTCTATGGTGGTTTGCCCATGGCAAGTGCTGACACCCGGGAGGCACAAAGAGAATCTTTACTGAACTAAATGGTTGGATTACCTTTTCACCCAGCTTTCTGAAAACAACCTCTTTACTTCAGCCTCTTCAAAGCAGCATTGAAGACCCAATTATCTGTCATCTAACAGAAGTAGAAATGAGTTGTTTTCTGGGAAGGGAAGTTGTCTTTGGTTGTGCTCCTACTAGGGGTGGGGTTTATATTGAACTAAAGATAAAGAGGGAAGGAAAGAAAGGAACAATAGAAAAGATGCATGACTTAGTTGTTTTTACTAACTTTGCTAATTTAAAAGAAAGAATATGCTTTAAAGTTGATTATTTTATCTTATTTATTCTGGGTTTTGATCATACCTGGCTGTCTGTGCTCAGTGCTTACTCCTGATTCTGCACTCAGAGATTCTTTCTGGCAAGGCTGGGGCACCATATGGGTTGCCAGGGATTGAATCCAGGTTGGCTGTGTGTAAGGCAAATGTTTGACTATTTTGCACCTCAGAACTTTTTATTTCTCATGGTTTTTGTCTCTGCAGACGGTGGTACTGATTCCTACAGTGAAGAATCTGACTCAGACTTATCAGATGTGCCAGAGCTTGACTCTGATATTGAACAAGAAACTCAAATAAATTATGATCGCCAGGTTGGTAAACAGGGAGCACTGTAAATGCTGCCTCATAACTTCAAATCATGATCTTATTGGAGTTGTACATTGTAACTTGTAATATATGTAAAAATGGCTGGTATTCAAGAATAAGGAAAATTGTCTGTTATTTACATACGTTAGAAAAATATAGAACATTTACTCAGTCATATTATAACTTTTTAAAGTGGAAGATAGTAGCAAATTATTAAAACTAATTTCATGACAGTTGAGATTTCCCACCTACCTGGAATCCAAAACTTAAAATTTATTTTTGCAGGAAAATATGTGACTATATGCTAAGGGATTTTTTATTTTCTTAATATATTTTAAAAATATGTGTTTTCTTTAAAGAATGGGGAGCCTCAAGAGCGATGGTAATTTGCAAAGTTGTTTCTAGTTTCTCCTCTTTTTAACTTTCAGAGGTCATTATCTACTTTAATAAAGTAAAACCCCAAATACAATGTGCATTATCTCTCCAGTGAGAAATCATCTCTAGAATGAAAGTTGGCCAATTACAACCAAATTGAATTTCATCTTTTGTAAAGTAGACTTTTTATTTCACACCAAACTATTAAAAAGAGTAATCTTTCTGAGGTATCTGGGCACACAATACCTTTTAATGATGATAGCTCTAGGGATTCTCATTTCACAAAGGCCATGTGAGTCAGATCCCAGACATGAACATGAAGTGAATAAGACTTTAGATATCCAACACAGCAACTGTGACTGTTAGTGTTGTGTGTGGCGACACTTAAGCCAATGGCAGCTGCCGTCTATCAAATGTTTCTATGGGACCAGATCCAATTCTTTTTTTTTTATGTAGGAGTACTGCTATTTATTCAGCCACTGATTAGGCTGATTGAATTGCACATGAACCCCACCTTACTTTTTTTTTCATAATTTTATTTATTGAATCAGCGTGAGAGCAGTTACAAAGCTTTCGGGTCTAAGTCTCGGTCATACAATGAAACACTCGTACCTTCACCAGTGCCCATTCTCCACCCCCAACAACCCCAGTATACCCTCGTCCCACACCTTCCCCCTACCTGTGGGGCAGATGATTTCCACATTACTCTCTCTCTACTTTGATTACATTCAATATTTTGACACCACACCCACCATTATTATTTGGGATTTTACCCCAACACTCAGATCTGCCGAAAAGACAACAGTAGACAATTTGTTTTCTATTGCTGGTTATGAATAACATGATGTCACATGGCTGCAGTAGAGGCCGCGTGATATTGAAATTCCAAAATTTTAACAATTAAATCTAGAGGGATTTCTGCCCAAACCTGCTGGGTGCCAAGATTTGTTCTAGAGTCTCTGGGATCGTGGCTGTTATGCAGCTTGATCAGGAGCCAGAGAGGCCATTTGTGGGTAGCGACTTGGGGTCTTGTTGGGACGGGGAAGAAAGTGCTGGCTCTATCCCCAATCCTTGAGGCCCCACGTGTCTCATCACTGAGGGCTGAAACCTGACTGTCCAGTGGCCTCTGGAGGATGGCGGCCACTGGGCCTCCAGGGGGAACAGGCCAAGGCACGAAACCTATTCCCACCTTGGGGTGGCCCAGAGCCAGTAACCTACTGCAGAGTCCAGATGCATTTCTGCCAAAAGCCACTGAGTTCCAAGATTTGTTTCTGGGTCTCTGGGATCATGTCCATTGAGTGGCTTGATCAGGAGCCAAAGAGACCATTCACTGGGGGCGGCTCAGGGTCTTGTTGGGATGGGGATGAAAGGGCTGTCTCCATCTCCATCCCATGAGGCACTGAGTGTCTCATTACTGCAGGTCAAAATCTGACTATTCAATGGTCTCTGGAAGATGGCGGCCACCAAGCAGCCTAAAGGGAGCACATAGAGGGACAGCACCCTCCCCCCCACCCCCCCGGGGTGGCCCGGTGACAGTAACCTACTGCAGGAACAGGACTCATTTCTGCCAAAAGCTGCTGGGTTCCAAGATTTGTTTCTGAGTCTCTGGGATCATGGCCGTTAAGCAGTTCAATCAGGAACCAGAGAGGCCATGCCTCCAATTATATAGCTGAGCCAGAGGTGGTTTGTGTGTGTGTCTCCCACATACTTAACTTTTGACCATTTACTTTCTTGGTAAACTTTGCCCCAAGTTTTTGGGGTCTGGCCAAAGGCACAGCAGCAACTTTGGGGTATCTGGAAGTCTGAAGGTGCCATCAGGCTACTGATGCACTCACCTCACAGGTACAAATTGACCTCTGGCAGCACCATATCCCCTAGATCCAATTCTTTATGTATACAAAATTCACCACCCCCCCATTTAACTGGAGGGGTTAAGTCACTTGCCAAATCCACATTGTCTGTAGCTTTAGATTGAGGTTGTGAATCTGGTTTTCTCTCCATGGTGTACATTCTTTGTGCTGTTCGCTTAGCCTCTATGTATGCACTGAATTTCAGATGATGTTTTTTCTTAGCCAGTATTAATCACTCTCTAGTTTAATGTTTAATCAATTAGTACAAAGCAACCTAATTTATGGTTTAGGTCAATTGTAACTAACTCAGCTTGACTGCATTGATACAATGTATTAAATGCAATAAAACAACTAAAGATTGATTTCAAAGGAAACTATTAATTGGAAATATCAAAAATATTAAATAATACTACCGTGATATAAAGGGAAAAATGAAATATAAGAAAAATAAACACAAAATTTGGGAAAAATGAAAGCATCCTTTGGTCAGATACTCTAATAAAATGCTAGTAAGAGAATAGGAAGGCATGACTCTTGAACTCTGTACTTAAAATTACATGTTCTAAACATTTACTTTTCAGGCATTTAGCCCTTATTGACTTACACTCACAATACTCTTGAATTATTCTTTATCATAGATTTTAATTGTGTTCTGCAGATGGGAATTTGAGATCTACGGAGACAAGACTTATTTGAATAAGTAGTTGAAATGCCCACACTATAATTCAGTGCTCTACTTAGTTGAGTTGATAAAAAATCATGAATTCAGATAAATATTTAGCTTTTAATAAAAGTTATTATGATACTGTGATTTACCAAGTTATTCATAATACAATTGTTTCCTGCATTCAATGTTCCTACTCCAGCCCCACCACCAGTATGACCTTCTCTTCACCAGTTTCCCCACTTTCCAACCCAATCTTCTTCAGCTTTTAATAGCTTAGTTTAAAGAAGTTGTAATATACAAAATAGTGATAAGATATCTTTTGGTTTCCTTTAAGGTTTTTTTGGTTAAATCCTAAACAGGGACTTAGTTATAAAAACCTGTCATAGTACTTTTTGCAATATTTTTGATCAAATGAAAACTTCCTTTTATGAAAATCACTTATCAGTTGTATTTCATTTTCAATGTATTGGATTTATGTTTCCTGGTTTTAAGACATAAATATTTTATAGTCAAAAGATTAATAATTTTTTTTCCCCTTTATTTTATTTTATTTTTTTTAAAGTTGTAGATTTACAATTTTTTGTGCTTTGGTTTCAATTATACAATGATCAGATACCCATCCCTCCACCAGTGCCCATTTTCCACCACCATGGATAATATCCCTCCCACCCCCATCCCCCCATCCCCCCGTCTCTGTGGCAGGGCAATCCCCTGTGTTCTCTCTCTCCTTTTGGGTGTTGTGGTCTGCAAAAGAGGCATTGAGTGGCAAACATGTTCAGTCCATAGTCTACTTTCGACATGCATCTCCCCTCCTGGGAGGATCCTCCAAACATCCTTTATTTGGTGCTCCCTTCTCTGTCTGAATAGCCCTTTCCTCTAGGATACCCGGCTGGCCTCTAAGTTATGGAGTAATCCTCCTGGTGCTGATCTCAGCTATTCTTGGGTATTAATCTCATACTTTGTTACTTTATATCCCCCAGATGAATGCAATCTTTCTATGTCTATCCCTCTCTTTCTGACTCATTTCGCTTAGCATGATACTTTCCATATTGTACCACTTGTATGTAAATTTCATGACTTCATCTTTTCTAAGAGCTACATAGTACTCCATTGTGTAGATGTACCAAAGTTTCTTTAACCAGTCATCTGTTCTTGGGCATTCAGGTTTCTTCCAGTTTCTGGCTATTGTAAAGAGGGCTGCAATGAACAAACAAGTGCAGATGTCACTAAAAGATTAATAATTTTTATGTATATTTAAATCAAATTGTAGTTGTTCTCTGAGCCAGCAACACAATGGAACAAGAGCGTTCCTTAATATATCAATCACTGTCAAGGTGCATGAGAATATGAAAAGAAAGTACTTCCAAGAATGATTGCCATGATTCATGAGGTTCATATTTTTTAAAAAACACAATCATTAAGAAATTTCTTGACTTAGAAGAAATGTAACAATGTTTTAAATATTTTATTAATGGCTTCATATTTGTTATCAGAAGATTAATATATTTTCTGAAATCAATTATGTAAAAATCAGTAGCAAATTAAGGAAAATTATTTTAAATACCATTGACTTAAGGTAGTTAATATTAGTTTTGTTCATTAGAACAAAGTAAATATGATCTAATGTTCTCAATTTTGTCTTAGTTTTGTTTTTTAAAAAATCAACTCTTAGTTTCATTATTTAAAAATTCTTTTGTATAGGCATAATAGTTTACAATAATGTCAAAATCATTTTACAGTTGCAGCCATACTATATCAATTCCTCTGTTTTTCTGTGTTTTAAAATTATTTCTGCGCTAAACTGTATTGTTGGGGTTTTTTTCCCTTTTATTTTTTCTTTCTTGTTGACCATGTTTTATTGGATCACTGAGCAGTTTACAAGTTTATTGCATGTATTGTTGGTTTTTTTAAATTAATTTTGAACTTAATCTGTTCTTTTTTTCTAGTTTCTTGTGGTATAATGTTAGGTAGATTTTTGAAATATTTCTTTTAAATCTTAATTTATATGTGTTTAGCAAAAAAACATTCTTTCCTCATAAGAATGCTTTTGATGTATTTCCTAAGTTTGGGTATGCTATGTTTTTATTTTCATTGAAAATATTTTTAATTTCTTTCTTGACTTCATGTGGGAGCCATTGACTTTTCAAAAGTACAGTGCTTTTTAATCTTCAGATATCGGTGGAGTTTTCCAGCTTTCTTTCATTATGCCATAATGGTCAGAAAAGATGCTCTGCATAATTTTTCTTTTCTTGCATTTTTTGATACTTGCTTTGTGGCCCAACATGCTTTCTACTGGAAAAGTTTCTGTGTGCACTTCAGAAGAATGTGTATTTAGCTGTTATTTGCTTCTGCTTATGGCTGCGTGGTCATTTGACTTATAGAGTTGTTCAAAGCTGCCACTTTGTTGATTCTCTGGATGATCTATCCTTTATCACGAATTAGGATTTTACAGTCCCCAACTGTTTTAATATTGATTTTTTCCCTCTTTTTGTTATTTAGGTACTCTTATGTAACATGCAAAAACATTTACAATTGTAATAGTGTAATGTTAGATCTTAATGTATTTGAACACCTAAACTGAATGTTTATGTCATGCTTCAAGGTTTACAAAGAAGATCTACCTCAGCTAAAGCAACAAAGTAAAGAGAAAAACCATGCAGTGCCCTTCCTCAAACGAGAAAAGGCTCCTGAGGACAGCTTGAAACTCCAGTTCATCCACGGGTGGGTGATGTCACAGAGATGTTGTCTTGCTGAGGAGGCCACTCCCTCAGTGCAGCCTGCTTCAGTCCGATTCTTCTTTCCACTTTGCATTTACCTGTGGTTAATATTTTAGTCATGATTTATGGTCCAGTTTTCTCAGTGGGGTTCTGTGGCTGTCATAATAGATGAATCTAGAGTTTTCATATTCCATGATTCATGTATCACTACAGCTCATTGATGTTTCACCTCTTTCTCTATAGTTTCTACTTCCTTTATTCCTGGCTTACTGCTCTGTTTTGCTGCCATCTAGTTTAGTGTTTTCTTCAAACACTTTTTGCTCACATATATGACTGAAATAATTTTGGATTTTTAAAATCATGTACAGTTCTATTTAAGTTAACATCTTATCTTTCCAACATAAATTTAGGTTCTTGTGAAAATTATAATGTCTAGCATTTTATTAAATGGAACCAAGAGAACTTAGGGGCCATAGAGATTTTATTCTTTGAAATATCAGTTTAAAAAGAAGTTTTAGAACGAATGCTTCTACAATGGAAATCTTGATATTATTCATATTTCTTCTTGAACTCACATTGTTATACTACTGTTTACTTTTTCTATATTATTTTGTTGTAACTATTAAATTTCCTAATGGACTTTTACCCTATTCATGGTCTTTGAAGATAAAATAGTCATACTTTCTTCAAGAAAAAACAATGTGTGCAGATTCAGTTTAAGTGTAATTCCCTGTATGGATCTGGAGAGATAGTTAAGGCACTTGCCTTGCACACAGCTGAACCGGATTTAATTTCTGGCACCCCTTATGATCCCCTGAGCCCTGCCAGGAGTGATCCTTGAGCACAGAGTCATCCTGAAAAGATTTGGGTGTGGCTAAATAAAGTTAAGTCTCTATAGCTACAGTATTTTACTTTGTGCTGTATAGTGTAATATCCACTTATTATCCAACCACTTGCAATATGGATAGTCTGAGTCAGAGATGTGCTGTATGTTAAAATGTACACCAGCTTTTGAACATTTAGCAGGAAAAACAGAAAGTCAGATTATGTAATATTTCAGTAATATTGAGTTAAATGTCCTTAAAATAAATGTTCTTTTTTTGGTGGGGGGATCGCATCTGGTGGTACCTAGGGTTTACTCCTGGTTCTGTCTTCAGGGATTACTCCTGGTAGTGCTCAGAATATAGTATGTTGTGCTGAGGATTGAATCAGGGTTAGCCATATGCAAGCCAAGAACCTTAAGCCTACTGTATTATCTCTCTGGCCCTTGTTTTTATTTTTGCTAGTTATAACTGAGAAATCTTGCTCACAAGAGTAGTTTTTTTTTAACGAGAGTGATGTTATTTAATCCTTCAAACTTCTCTTAAAGTATGTAGAGAGATACTACAGAGATTAGTGTGCTTGCCCTGGTTATGACTGACCCCAATTTTAGCCCGGCATCACATGGTCCCTTAAATAAGGTTCAACCCCCTCCACCTTACAAATAAGAATGAATTCCTTTGAGTTATGGATCAAAAGTGTATCTTATGGTATTTCTCTTTCACATACAAATGTAGTTTAGGGGCCAAGAGATAATACAGTGGGTAAGGTGCTTGCTTTGCATGCAATTGGCCCAGATTTTGTCCCTGGTAACCCATATGGTACCCCACGTCCCACCAAGAGTGGTCCTAGAGTACAAAGCCAGTTGTAAGCCCTAAGAACCACTAGGTGTGGCCCCCAAACAAAGAAAAAGTAATTTAATGACATACCGGCTAACAATTCAATAAAAAAGCATTCTAATTTTGTAAAATGCAAATTATTTTAAGCCAAGTAACTTCCAGTGCATTGAGTTGTTCACTTTCTACATCAACACTTGTATTTTGAAAGGTCCTTTTGTTTTGAGAACCCTGAAGATTCGGCTTTCAGGATAATTCATCATACTAAGTCTTTGGAAAGACTAAAGAGATGACTTGCTATAGTGGGAGGAAGTTGGTTATGAAAGGGAAGGTGGGAAAAGAAAGTCTCTACCTCATCACTAGAGTGTTTTCAGATGGATCTGTTCTAAAAAATAACAAAGAGTCGCTGAGGACTAGAAATGGTCATTTACATTTTTATATACATTTTCCTCAGTACTCATTGCCTCAAATTCATCACATGCCCTCAAAGTTCCTCCTGCCATCATTTTAAGAATACTGTCTGGGTAGTAATACAGAAATAAGCAATTCTACTTATGTATCACATCAGCAACTCCAGACAGTCCCTACCCATTTCATTCTTTGTTTATTCAACTACTGTGTGTTTCTTGGGACTGTGCTTCAGTTATAGAGGCTATGACTGTAGAAACAATCTGTTCTACACACAAACTGGAGAAGTAGTCTACCACATTGCTGCAGTTGCTGTTGTGTACAATAGACAGCAACACTCCCAGAGGCTGTACCTGGGACACGATGATGACATTCTCAGCTTGACCATCCATCCAGTGAAGGACTACGTGGCTACTGGGCAGGTATATCTCTCTCTCTCTCTCTCTCTCATCTAAGATGGGGGCTTACCCAAAGAGAGAGGAGATTTAATTTTTTTCTTTTCTTTATTTTATTTTTTTTATTAGTGAAACACCATGAGGTACAGTTATAGACTTACAAATTGTTGTGCTTGGGTTTCAGTTATACAATGATCAAGTACCCATCCCTCCACCAGCGCCCATGTTCCACCACCATGGGTCCCAGCATCCCTCCCACCCCCCAACCCTCCCATCCCACCCTGCCTCTGTGGCAGGGCATTCCCCCTTGTTCTCGAAGAGATTTAATTTTGAACCAAAACTATTTATTAGAAATTAAAGAAAGTTTTGGTAGAAATAATTGTGAGGCAGGAAGCTGAAGATTTAGTGACTACTGGATCATTTCATGTAAGAGAATCAAACAATATACTTTAGTACTGTTCTTACCTCAGTGTGATAAGGTCTATGAATAGGACTATCTAGACCTAAATATTATCTTAATATTTTTTCCTCATCCCTATATTTCCATTATTTAGTATATCTTGATTATTCAATAAGAATTTATTGAATGAGCCATCTTTTAATATTAGCACAATATTTTGATATATAATCATTTTGTGATATTTAAAGTCATGTGGATATTTACTAATTTATTATTTTTATTTTAACCTGAAAATAATTCCAAATTTTATTAAACTATTTGGAATCCCTAAACTTTGGGTTGACTATGTAGATGAAAAGCTGTTTAGAACAAAGCTTTTTAGAAAAAGCTGTTTATTCAGCCTCTTAGGTTCATAGTGCCTGAGTTTCCTGATCTGGAAAACAGTGAGTCATAGGATTTGTGCATCTTCCTCAGTGTGTAGTTTTAAAATTTCTGAACTGTATTTGACTCTAAAAATATCATTTTTTATAATTAATCAGTAGTAATTATACACATTCTGTTGTCTAAGGTTGGAAGAGATGCTTCTATCCATGTGTGGGACACTCAAACTCTAAAATGTTTGTCATTGTTGAAAGGACAACACCAGAGAGGAGTGTGTGCTCTTGATTTCTCAGGTAAGCCCATTTTTTTCTAGAGCCCTTGATAGATACACACTGACTTTGGCATTTTGATTTAGTTTTTTTTTTAATGAATCACTATGAGATGCAGTTACAGACTTACAAACTTTCATGATTATGTTTCACTCATACAATGATCAAGCACCCATCCCTCCACCAGTGCCCATTCTCCGTCACCAATGTTCCCAGTATCCCTCCTGCCACCCCCACTTTTTCCCATCCCCTTGCCTCTGTGGCAGGCACATTGCCTCTTACTCTCTCTCTCCTTTTGGGTATTATGGTTTGCAATACAGATGCTGAGAGGCCATCATGTTTGGCCCATAGTCTATTTTCAGCATGCATCTACCATCCCGAGCGAGCCCCCCAACCATCATTTACTTAGTGGTCCCTTCTCTATCGCAGCTGTCCTTTCCCCCAGCACATGAGACCAGCTTCCAAGCCATGGAGCAATCCTCCTGGCCCTTATCCCTACTATCCTTAGGTGTTAGTCTCCAGTTATGTTACTTTATATTCCACAAATGAGTGCAGTCATTCTATGCCTCTCCCTCTTTTTCTGGCTCATTTCACTTAGCATGATACTCTCCATGTCCATCCACTTATATGCAAATTTCATGGTATCATCTTTTCTAACAGCTGCATAGTGTTCCATTGTGTAGGTGTACCAAAGTTTCTTTAACCAGTCATCTGTTATCGGGTGCTTGGGTGTTTTACATATTCTGGCAGTTTTAAATGGTGCTGCAATAAACATACAAGTGCAGATGCCATTTCTACTGTACTTTTTTGCATCTCTGGGATATATTCCCAAAAGTGGTATTGCTAGGAGTTCAATTTCTAGTTTTTTGAGAAATGCCCATATTGTTTTCCAAAAAGGCTGGACCAGTCGGCATTCCTACCAGCAGTGAAGGAGAGTCCCTTTCTCCCCACATCCAAACCAACGCCAGTGCTTTTGTTCTTAGTTTTCGAAAAAAAAATATAAATACATATACTTGTTCTTAGTTTTTTAAAAAGTATATAAAAATCTCTGTATCACTGTATCACTGTCATCCTGTTGTTCATCAATTTACTTGAGCGGGTGCCAGTAACTTCGCCATTCATCCTAGCCCTGAGATTTTTAGCAGCCTCTCCTTATTCGTCTTTCCCAAAGGTATTAGAGGCTCTTTCAGGGTCAGGGGAATGAGATCCATTATTGTTACTGTTTTTGGCATATCAAATATGCCACGGGTAGCTTGCCAGGTTCTGCCATATAAATATATATACTGCTATATATATATATATACATATATATGTATTTCTGTTTAGCTGAACTGCGTTTAAGGAGAGATAAGCCCTTTATATCAGCTTTAAATTTTAGACTGGAAAATTGATACTGTGAATACCTCCTCAATAACAAAAATATGACCTTTATATTACATATTATTTCCTCATCTTCCTTATTTCCTCTCTCCCAAGTCATTACCTAGAGCTCACACTGTGTTCTGCATTTGCCTGAGTGATCTGAAACCCATAGCAGCTGTTACTGTTGAAAGACTTGGTTGCAAATGTCTGGCAGTGACTCAGAACATCAATTCTGTCTCTCCAAATAAGTGGGAGCATGTCACTTGCAATTTAAAATATAAAGAACCGCAGGGAGGTCTGCAGATTTTCTACAAAGAGCCGCTTTGTGACACTGTTATTTCGGAAATAAATTTCATATAAAAAAACCCAGAAGTGATCTTTCATCATAATTTATAATTTGAACACAGTACTAAAAAAAGAACTGATGGATGTTGTTTTCATTGGGGCAAGGACCGTTTGACTGAGAATCTATCTAGAAATTTTTAATGAACATAATTATAGAAATTAGATCAATAGGGGAAAAATCAGGCTTTGCTATGGATAACTGATTATATAATTTCCTTTGTCTAAATTCCATTCAGATGTGCCATGTGCTATTAAGTGTACTTTCACTCCTCAAATTCTCTGACTCCCACTTTCTCTGTTGTTCCTCTCATTATTCCCCTGGTTCAGGCTCCCATTTTCTCTCATTCATGCTATGTAATGCTGGTCTCTGATTCTGTCTCGAATTCCTCCACTCCATCCTGTCCACTTCTGAGCCTTCTGGAAGCATTTACATTGCCACCCTGTGAACTTCCCTTGGTTGACTGACTCAGGGTTTACTCTCTTGGTTGAAATTCGTGGACTTTCTCAGGGTAGCCTCCCCTTCCTTTGCAGCATTTATACCAACAAACCCATTCATGCTCTTTTACATCTATCTACATAACCTAGGTGCACTTCTGTCAGTCTGTGGCCTGTGTTCCTTCACTCATATACTGTTCCTGTGCATCTCTTCAAGTTCATCAAGCTAAAAGTCCTTTCTTTATCCATTAGCCCATTATTATTGCTCTTATAGCTCCTCTAAGTCCCTGTAATATAGCTGTTATTTATGTCAGCACTGTTGATCTTCATATACAGTTAACGTTTTAGCTGCTAAGCCCATGTTTCTGGTTCCCACTGCTTCTCCAAAAAGATGATGGATGAATGGACAAAGGTTGTTTTGCTTAACATTCTTTGCTCTTTGTCTGATTTTTGTTATGACTACTAGAATCTCAAACTATAACCAAGTTTTTATTTCCAGACAAATAAGGTAAAGGTAAGGTAAAGGCCCTCCCGTTGATCGTCGATTTGCTCGAGTGGGCCCAGTAACGTCTCCACTGGAGACTTTGTTGTTACTGTGTCTGGCATATCGAATACTCTCGGCAGCTTGCCGGGCTCTCCGAGAGGGGCGGAGGAATCGAACTCGGGTCGGCCATGTTGGCCGCGTGTAAGGCGAACGCCCTACCCACTGTGCTATCGCTCCAGCCCAAATAACACAGACAAATAACACAGTTCATTTGGGTCTTTTTCTTGTATGGGCTGGAGAGATCGCACAGGGGGTTGGGCGCTTGTCATGTATGTGGCCAACCTGGATTGGACCCCCAGCACCCCATATGGTCCCAAGTGGTCAGGAATAAGCCCTGAGCACTGTCAGATGTGGCCCCAAACACAAAACAAAGTAGGTATACATGTCCTTGATAAATTGGTAAAATCTGAAAGGAAACCAGAATTTGACTTCAAATATAATTCTGTTCCAAAGATGTAAATAAAAGTTTTTCATAATTCTGCTCCTTAGAGGTCAGAGGGACGTCTTCCAAAAATTAATTTTTCTAGAATATGTATAATATGAAAATTATGCTAACATGCTTCTGTTTCAGAGTGATAAGAAAGTCATTAGAGATTGAAACTTAAAAATAAAGCCTAAATTGTGCTAGATTATAGAAAATCTAATATTTTCATGTTTTGGGAAACATAGAAGCTTAATTCTAGCAAACAATTCATAACCATATAAGAAATTGTATAGGAGAGGCCAGAGCAATGGTACATTGTGTAAGGCATTTGCCTTGCACATGGCCAAACTGGATTTGATCTTCAGCATCCCAGATGGTCCCCTGAGCTCTGTCAGGAACGGTACCTGACCACAGAGAAGGAGAAAGCCCAGAGCATCACCAATTGTGGACCAAAAACCAAAGAAAATAAAGAAATTTCATCAGGGTAGGAACTATACTTGTTTAGAGTGCTTGCATATGTCCTACCTGGATTTAATCCTCACCACCACATATGGTTCCTGCTGGGAGTGATCCCTGAGCAACACTGGGTGTGGCATAAAACTAAAAGGAAAATAAAGTTTAAAGTTCATATATGGACTGTATGTAAAGGAAAAAATAGAACTAAAATACCATGTAATGATTTCAACTGATAATATTCTAGGTATTTAGCATATGAACAGAATTACAGGAAATTTAGAATGATATAAGTAAAATGTAAGTAAAATTTAATAACCATTTGATCCTTTTTCTGTATTACAGTTTAATTTTCTTAATAAATTGAGAAAGGGTAACAGACTAACTCATATTCTTAATTGACTTTAAGGAGAAGGATTAGAAGATTGTTGACAAAAGATATTAATTCTGAGACTAGTAGCAGCAAGTCATCTGCTACCTGCATTTCTGAGAGCTCATGTCTTCTTTGTGCTTACTTGTTTTAAAGAAGAAAGATCTAGAAATGAAGTGAATTTAGAAATTTTTCTCTCATTGGGCAGTTTTTAAAAATCATTATTAGGCCTGAGAAACTATATACCTTAGGAAATGTAGAGAAGTGATAGGGTCATTGCTTTTAGTTCTCATTTTGGGTAAATAAAATTCTAGATATAAAAAAATTGCGTGGAGGGAATTTTGTTTTAATAGTGCATTCTTGATTATACAGAGAACATTTACTCTGATAGCATATGTATTTGACAAGTGTGTTATTTATGGCTATGAAAAATTGTATTTTTGTCTCAACATTTAAGTAATATTAACGTGTAAATAGCAGAGAGGAAGCCAGTTTATAGTTTAGGAAAATATTAATATTAAGGACTATTCAGGAAGAATGCTCACTACTATCACCTCTGTGTTGACCTGCTAATAATGGTTACATGAAGACAACTGGTCTTTGTGGACCCTATGATATCTCTTAAAAATGTAGGCCAGGATTTCTTTGGTTTGATTTCTATTTAGAGCACTTTGTGTAATATCTGTCGTCCTAACCATTTGCACCACTCTACCAGTCAGAATGCAAAACCAGTGTTGGGCAGTGTGGCCTGGATACAAGTCCAGCCCTGGCAGGAGTTATACCAGGAGTTGTCCTCACTTTTACCTTCTCCTGCCTCTGCCCTCCATCAGGGTCTATGAGAACAGGAAGCATGAAAGTGTTGCATGGAACACTCAGCATGCTTGCTTATGGCCCCAGTTCCTCTGGCCAAAGCAAGTGCCTCCAGCTGCTCTCCACACCATTCTCCAATATAAGTGAGATGTTGGTATTGTGGTGCATAGAGGCTGCCACGTGGAACAGCCCCCTGTGAAGACATCCCTGTCCTAGAACAACCAGAATCACAATTTACCAGAAAGGTAGCTGGATTGCATTCTTTTTTGTAAATTAACAAA